TGAAGCTTTTAATGCACTTAAAATCGATACACATACTCTCTTTCTCAATTGTTATTAACTAAAAACAACATCTCCTTCACTTTGTCTCCATATTCATACAAAAAAAACAAGATTTTGATTTCAATTTTTTTATGGTTGATAGAGCCATTTAAGCATACAATTCTTGATGGGTTACTTTCGTTTGATGTTCTGGGTGGTTGGAGAAGACTTTGTGTGCAAAGGAATTCATCTCACCTAGTTTAAGGTATGAAATATTGAAGTTTTTACCAGATCTGTTCGCGTAGAAGACTTACCCGTAAGTCTTCTGGATGTAGAAGACTTACGGATAAGTCTTCTGGTCAAACGGAGGACTTACTTCTAAGTTGTCCAGCTTTGTATGTTAAAAAAAAAGCTTGACGACTTATAAGTAAGCCGTCTAGGAAAAACGGGCTAGTTTTGCATTTGACCGAATTGTGTCAGATATTTGACTTTTCCTGGACGATTTACCAGTAAGTCGTCTCTGGGAAAGTTAAATTTCAATATTTTATTAATTCAAGACGACTTACGGATAAGTCGTCTTAGGTTAGTTTTGTAATTGAAAAACTAGATTTTGACCCGCGCTTTAAAAGCGCGGGTATATTTTATTTTAATAAAACTGAATTGAATTTATAATTTTGATTAGAAAATAAATAGTTTTAAAATTTTCAATTTGTGTTTCAAAAAAAATACTTGATTTTCAAGCGGTGTTTTTCTATCTAACCTAGACCTATGATTGAACCGATAAATCCGGTGATATGTGTATAATTCAGTTCAATTTAATAAAAAGAACTGTAATTATAATCTTAGAAAATCTGGTAAAAATCTAAATATTCGCTATTGACCTAATATCTAATATGAGATGATTCGTTGAAAACCCAAAAATAAATAATATTTTTGAATGTTTATTAAATAATTCATACTTCTTTATATTATATAAAATTGAAAAAAAATATTTAGAGTTTAATGAGATTTGGATTATGTCATTTGAATAAAATAAAACAATGGTAATATGAAACTTCATTATTGATATAAAAATATTATTTTCTTTTTTTGGTTACTAATAAGCTATGATAAGTTTGTATTTTTATCTATGTTTACATCTAAAACTTAACTTTAAGATAAGTTTTAAAAAAATTTGAACACTGAAAATTGGCGTATTGTTATTATGTAAAAATGACAATAATAGTTTTTTAAATTTACATGTATATATTCATATCCGATCTTTAAATAATATTATAGATGGAAAAATGATATTCAAATTAAATAGAAACTATAATCTGCATAAAAGTTAATATTATTATAATTCACAAAATATGGAAAGTATTAATTACCATAGTTATAGAGAATATTCTATTTTTAGTTTAAATTAAATGTCAATAGGAAAGACTTGTAAATATATTGAAATGCAAGGGCAGAATCCTAAATTTTCAAAATAGGATCCTGCTTTAATCCCTTATATATTAATCCTGAAGCATTCATAAATGCACAACCTTAGAGAGCATGCTTACGTGTCAAGCTCACAGAGCTTCTCAGCTTTCATTTTTTAATGAATCAACTTTGCTAGGAATGAAATAATGTAACATTTAATTTCTTGCATTTAGGACTATAATATATAAACATTTTTTAAGGAACCAACTATGCTAGGTATAAAACAGTATATTTTATTTCCTTAAATAAAAGCTACGGAATTACCTAATATGATTAACATATATATGTAATTAATGATTATGAATAATACATATTTTTGTATCCTCTCTGTTTTTTTGTTTAATTTTAAATTATTAAAATAAATTAAACAATCACATTTAAATATATAATAAAAAAATTAAATTTTTTCTTATAGGTTATATTTTTTAATTTTTTAAAATGACCATAAATAACTAAAAATAGTAAAATCCCACATTGAAAATTTTATGATCAATGGTTTAACTTTGTTTTTTCCAAAGAAGATATAAATTATCATAAATCGTACGAATATGAAGTATCATTAGTAGATATTCATACTATAAATATGTTAATTTAAAATTTTCAGTGAAAAGGTTTGAGGTTAGTAGATATAAATTATAGTATTCGGAAGATTTTTGTAGTTTGTTTTATTTGCTTCTTTTTAATATCTTTTAGTTTGTTTAGATAATTTAACTAATTTTAAATTAAATTTATTAATAGTTTAAATATTTTGATTTTTTGTCAAATTTTAATGTTTAACAAATATTTTTTGGGATGATTTCAGATATTGGTTATAATCCAATCCAAACTGAATTGAGAAGATCAAATCGTATCCAATCCGATAATTAGTAAAATTCAAATATAATTTATGAGAATAATACCAAAATCTGAAAATACGTGTCAATCAAACTAAAACCGACGAAATCTCAAATGTCCAGACCTATGAAGATTTAAGATACCAACATTTGTATTCATCATTTTATAATCGACAAATACTGTAGTATTGCAAAATGTTAAAAATCATTTAATTAATAAATATTAATATAAAAATTTCACCCCGCGCATGCGCGCGGGTTATCATCTAGTAGTATAGATAAAACTTAATTATAACTTTTCTCAGGAGACTTAATTTAAACTCGTCTGGGTCGTCCAGCCACACGACTTACCGTTAAGTCGTCCGGACGATTTACTTGCATGTCGTCTGCGTCAATGTTTAGTAAACTTTCATTTTCTCTATGTTTTTTAAAGTGTTTTTATTTTGAATTTTTGCAGATGATTCTTCAGTTACATGCAATGTATGGAGAATGGTTGTTCAAAGATGGCTGTTGGGATTTTGTGGTGATAATTTCAAAGGAGCGAGAATGTTTTTTTTTTAGTGAAGGTTCGACACATGCTGAACTTGTTTCAATGGCTCAAGAAGATTATAACCTGGACATGAGCACATTCACTGTGGAAATAAGCTACTCATTACCAGCAGAACTGAGGATGGCTCCAGCCACCCCTCCCATTCATGTTACAAGTGATAGACAAGTTTGAAACTTGTTTGAGATAACCAAAACGCATAGAATATGTCTTTGTGTATCAAGCCGTAGCAAGGTGGAAACGGTTTCAGAGGAAAATGAAGAAGCTAATGAATGGTTTGAAGATGATGAAGCTGATGAATGTTTTAAACATGATGATGATAATGAGCTGGTTGAAGATGAAAATCATGATGGGGATGAGGATGATGGGGAGAAGGATGATGGGGAGGAGGATGCTCATATCTCTATTGTGTCTGAAACAGACGAGAATGGTGAGGATTACAGTGTTTATGGAAAGGTTAAAGATGAGAATGAGGAAGAAGATGATGATATTTGTTTTAAAGATTTTGAAAATACATATGCTATTGAAGGAGGATAATCGAATGGTAACAGTATCTATGTCAACCAGAGTTCAATGAAACGCCTCTAAGAGAAACGACGCTAGGGTTTACAAAAACGGCGCTAGGGTTTCCTCGCAGATCGGAAATATAGGAAGCGACGGTGAGAACGGTGATGATAACGACGATGGTAAGGCGGAGATAATGATGGATTAGAGAGATTCGACGAAAATTGCCTTTGAAATCACCTTTGAGAGAAACAGTGTTAGGGTTTTCTGAATTTCGCGAAAAGTGAGTAAAAAAATTATCTTATATATGTCCGGTAAAAATTCCAGTTAGGTTTAAAAGTAATTTGGTAAAATCACTCGGTCCGGTTTAGACGACTTATAATTAAGTCGTCTGTTGATACTATACATCCAACTAAGTCGTCTGCCTTAAATATATTTACCAGACGACTTAATATTAAGTCGTCCAGACCCTAAACCCTAAACCCTAAACCCTAAACTAAATTGACTAAATTAACTAACTAACCACGTTATAAAATCAAATTATACTTAAATAGTGTTTTACTATACACAGAAATAAACACACTTAGGTAAATTTTAAATTTTTCAAAAAAACACTTATGCTTTCGAAAATCTAACCCTAAGAAACACATACAATACTACAACATATGTTGGCAAAACCTAAACCAAAGAATATCATGACTCACTACTTTCACACATCTATGTTGAAAACAATTAATTTTTTTTTTATATCTTAATTTATATCTCTTAAAACATATGTTAATTACATGATTTCAATTTTTCACTTATCTAAATTTTTTTTACAAAAATTTTAAATTATTTTTAAGAATAACTAAACTGGACGACTTGAAAGTCGTCTGGATAGAATACTTACGGGGTTAGAAACATAAAAAAAAAATTAGATTTTTTGTTTGTTCACAAGGGGCTGGTTGTAATTTCAATAGCTTTTGAGGTTACTTTTGCATTTGATTCATATTTGGGTTTACTTTTGCATTGAATCCAAGTTTTGAGTTATATTTGGCAAATTTCTCTTAGATATATCCTTTTGACATGGTTTCATTTGTACGGGTCATGTTTTTCCGATGGTTGGTATATAAAAATGGCAGAAGCTGGAACTTGGTGTAGACTTCCACAAACATGGTGTTGTTTTCTTCCTAAATAAAGAACGAACATAAAGATCAACAAAAAAAAAATCCATCAAAAGGTTTCAACTACAGAATATGATCGTGTTACTTATCTTTTCGCATATATGTCGTTGGTTTCTTGAAAATCTGAGTAGAGCTTGCTGTTATTTTTTATTGCAAAGCCTCTCTAGCAGCGGGACTTTATTCTATATTGCCCACTCACTCTCATCTTCATTCTATTTTAACCCATCATAAATTTGATTTTTTTTTCTTTCTCAAAATCAAAATGTGATTAAAAAATCAATAACCCTTAATGAATTAGTATTATATGTAATATGAATTATTAGAAACTACTTTGAATTACTAGAAACTACCTTGAATTACTAGAAACTACTATGAACAAAAAACAAACTACCTTGAATTACTAGAAACTACTACGAACACAAAAAAAAAAAATGGGGCAGTGAGAAAAATGGTGGGGTAGTGAGAATAGTTATTTTCCAACTGGAGTATATTAGAATACTTTCCCTAGCAGCGGCAGCAACGACATTCTTTTGACTCACCAAACCATTTTTTCAATGATTCTTGTCCTCCACTTGCAGCTTTTGCGCTACCAGATGCTGAAGCTCTTGTAAAAGAAGAAGCACCACCACTTGTGCTTTTGCATGTTGGTCGAAAATATGGATTCAGTTTGATGACAGGACTACCATTGACTACCTCTGGAATGATCTCGCTCGCAAGGAAATCTTGACGACAGTTTGGACAAGGCATAATCTTGTTAACATGACTTGACCTGGCAAATCTGCAATATGTCTTGCACCTATTGCACACAGTCCAAAACGTAAAGTTATGAACTCTCTCCTTCCTTGATACAGAATCAGACTCAAGCTTAGGCTCAAACCATCTTTTTAGTCTCTTGTGCGCTTGATTTGTAGACTTTCTGCTATCATATGCCGAAGCTGAAGAAAACGTTTCCTCAGAGGGACTCAATCTGATGACTGGCCTCCCATTAATGATCTCTGGTGTTACCTCGACTGCAACGAATCTCCAACAACAATTTGGACAAGACAATCTCTTGTTAAGGTAATCAGCCCTCAAGAATTCACAATATGTCTTGCATCTATTGCACACTGTCCAAAAAGTAGGTTCAAACTTAGGCGTAAGTTCAGGCTCATGCCTAGGTTTTGGTTTTGGCTTTGGTTTTGGCTTTGGCTTGTTAAATGAAGCTGGCTCGTGTGGCTTAGGTGGTTTCTGTATTCCACTCTTTTTAGGTTTACCTTGATGACCAGACAATTGAGACCAAGCTTCTAAAACTAGTTTAAACGCGCCTTCTGTACCATTGAACTTGTTCTTGTCCGGATGAAGCAAAAGAGCTAACTTCTTGTACTGTTTCTTTAGGGTTTCATCATCGGCTAAGCGATCTACGCCTAGAATCTCATACCAATCAGCTTCTCTTCCTCCTCCGGTATATGCAGAGATGTAAACATCGATCATAATCAGGGCTTGTTGTAAACCATCAAGATTTGGATACAAACTCTTTGCCTGGTTAATGAATGTTTTGGCTCCGTAGTAATCATTCTCTAAGAGTTTCTTCTCAGCTATACACATTGCTCTTTTAGCTTCATTCTCGTATTCCATTGTTTGTTTGAGAGAGTTTTCTTCAGCCAGAAAGCAAAGGGATTAAGCAGAGGTTTTTACCAAATCAGTCCACGAGATAACAAACAAATCAGAAACAAATTTGCAGGAATTCGTAGAATATAACGAAACTCATCCAAACGAAAACTTTCCTGCCAAGTTAAAGAATCTCTGATTTTGACGAAGACCCACTGAAACCCTAGAGAGAAATCAAAACAAAGAGAAAAAAATAATAGGACTTGCAACACAACCCAAAGAGCGAGGCGGTTGGTATATATATATATATATACAGTATATACGTATTTTTTAAGACGGTTTGTTTCCTTTTACAGAAAGGAAATTAGTTTCTTATTTCCTTTTTAACGTCAAAAAGGTACCGTTTATTTGACAATTGATTCTCCTCTACTTTTTGTTTGTACTCTAGGCTTTTAGAGCATCTCCATTGCTAAACCCCTTAAAGGGGTCCTTAGCATTTTGTTTTATGAAAAATAATTAATTTTGGTAAGTTAAGGACTTTTAACATTTTGGGTGTCCATTGGTGACCTCCAAAATGGTCTTCAAATCCTAACAAGAACCCTAATTTCAAATCCATCCCCAAATCGATTTGAAAACATAATCTACTCGAAAACAAAACCAAAAGAAGAGAAAATCCCCAAATCGAACCCTAAACAACTCGTATCCCAAATCCCCTTCGAACCCTAACGAAACCCCTAATTTGAAATCGATCCCCAAATCGATTCAAACCCTAATCTACTCGAAAACAAACCCCAAAGAAGAAGAAAGCCCCAAATCAAACCCTAAACAACTAGAATAAAGCATGCAGATAGCGATTTACCGAAGAACACTCAAGATCTCTCGAATCGCCTATTGAATCGTCTTCGGTGGTTTATTTCTTCTCTCTCGCGTAAATGACTTTGTTTTTTTTTTCTAAACCAGATTTTGGCAAAACGACGCCGGCTTGTACAAGCCATGTCAGCAAGGACTCTGTCCTAAAAACTCTTAATTAAGGGGCAACTCTTCAAATAAAGCAGATTTATAATATTATAAAAATAAAATTTTGTTAAGGGGCTGGGCTTAAGAGTTAGCGATGGAGATGGTCTTAAGCAATGTTTTGAAACTCGGATCCTCCGTTGAATTGATAATTCGGTGATCCATTATAAAAATTTATTTATGTTTTAAGAAAAATATATTATTTAAAAATTTAATAAAATCTACAGAAAAGTACTAAGATCCAAAATCCTACAACCGGTTGAACCACTAATTGAATTAGTATTTTTTAGTGATAAAACCGTTTTAGATTGTTGAAGAAGAACCTCCAGAACATGGTTATAATGAATTAGAGAATGCCTTTGCTGAAAAATACCTTAAAGTTGATGAAGTGACAACCAGTGGAGAAGATTTTGATGGTAAATTTAAAATTTTGATTGAACTTTCTGTTTATCATATATAATGCCAATAAACTATTTTATTTGTATTTTTTAGATTGTGATGAAAATTTCACTATGCCATCTTAAGAAATGAAATGAACGATGACAGAGAAAACAAAAATTAGTTGATTCGATTTAGTATTTGTTTATTTTTATTATCGTCAGTGTATTACAATTTGATATTTTACTTTTGGTTTATTTTAGATTCAAAGTTTAGTTTTGTTATTCACATTACACATTTAAATACTTATGATTTTTAACTTTTGATATTTTTATTAGATGTCATAACTCTTAATTTGTTACAAAAATTGTTAAATAGTCTAAAATATTTTTGGCATTTTATGTCAAATATAAATAAAGAAATTAAAGGTAAGTATTTTTCACTTTTTTAAATGTAAAATATGTATTCAAAATATTAAAAATTATCTAATATTTTTTTCCAAACAATCCAAAACCCAATATTTAAACTGAAAACTCCAAAATATTAAAAATTATCTAATATTTTTGTCTATTTAATGGGGGTACATATGTAGTTTATAGACGAATAAGATATAAGAAGTGTTTTTATATTCGACATAGACCTGCGGCCGAGCATGTAAACCAGACGGCCATGTGTAATCCGGAACGGATTATGTTCTTCATGTAGCATTCTATCAGAAAATTTACCAACTAATATTTTCTACAAAATTTAAATTCAGTGAAAATCTATTAATTAAAAATTTAATAAACCCCAAAAAGCCGCCATAACCCATGAACCGACACCGGTTGACCCAGCAAAAACCCAAAAAAATCTTACAATATCTTACAATACTAAAAGTTGAATATAATCAACATCTAGAGTGTCCAGCTCAACAGATTATATCAACCAATCAAATACAAGTTTAATGACTAGATTTTGACCCGTCCTTAAAGAGAGCGGGTCAACCGTTTTTGCTTTAAATTTATGCCCTTGTTCGATTATTCACAAGTATGTATAGGCATGAGTATCCGGGTTCAGATCGATTGTCGTTAATAATTTGGTTTGGTCCGACATATATAGATTAAATAAAATTACGTACAATTTAATGTGTGGTGTAGGATTTATTTTTTTTATTCGTTTTAGTTAAATAACAAA